AATCCATATGATACAATTAAATATCTAAAAACTAGTGTTGGGTTCCGGTGATAAAGAAAGTTACAGTAACAAGCGTAACAAGAGATCTCCATCATTGGATCAATCATAATTTAATGTCAACGTTAATGGATGTGCACCAAGATGCACTAGATCAATTTCATTCTAAAATGCAATTCGAATGGGTGAACATGAGATTAAAATTGATCAATGGTTTAGATTTCTTCTTAAACTTTTAATCTTAACTTCTCTTGTCACACGATACTTCGTCTTAAAAACTATCTTTACATCTATGGAGTCTCATCAAATATCTATCTTTACATCTATAAAGTCTCATTGAGCATATATATGTACATCTGTTGAACTATTATCAAAATAGAGGCATGTTTAAATGGTCTAATAATCTATTAGAATGGTACTCGCACAATGCAACGATATACATTTCGATTTTAATGTTTCGTTTTTCTTGTCCCAGTTGATGTTATAATACAGTTTTATGTGGTTTTGAGAAAACGATAATGTTTTCATTTTTGAATAAAATATAAATATGAAGATATATCATAAAAAAAAAAAATTATTGATATTAGTACCAAAGTAACTATTTAAAATTTCTCTTTTTTTATTTATTTTTTTAATTCATTTTTTTATTTTTGGTTTAATAATATAATTTTTATAAAGATAATAATTAAGTATTTTATTAGAATTCAATTATTATCTTAATTATATTTTAGATTTTTTATATTTAAAGTGAGATGATTATTCTCTATTTGACTATGTTTATCTACAGTTAGTTACACGAATTCAAACATGAAGCTTAGTAAGTTGTAGTTACGCATAATTTACTTGTAATCTTGAATTTTAAATAATATGCATCAATAAACAAAACTTTATACATAAAAAATAGTTTATAATATAGTATAGAGATGATTTGGTTCCAGATACTTTTAAAGAGAAATTTTTGATTTATCAGAGCCTACTACCATCATTAAGCTTGTTTTAGCATGACCAATATGTACCATTTGTTCAGCGAGATACGTCGAAAGTGAAGAAAGCTTCCGTTAAGTAGCTTTTTCAAAAGAACAAATGATACATATCAATTATCATAAAACAAAGTTAAAAGTACATATCAAGGACGGTTAATTGTCTCATCCGTTAGATTATGATGGACAACAGGTAGTTGTAGACGACTCTAGTGGATCAACATGTGCATTCTTTAAACTGAGGTCAAACATAACTAAATGGTCGTGACTAAATTTTTTAACATGTGCAACACATGTTAATTAATTATTGGTCATAAAGTTAAGAACCAACTGTACATTGTACGGTTGATCAGTGCAACATCAAATTAGGGGCCGATAAAACACTACGATAAAAATGGGTTTATAAATTGAAAATGACTATTTGTTTTTAGAGACTCTTTTATAGGGACTTGAGTTTATATGACCAAACATTTGTACGCCATACGTAAAAGTCTTAGGTGGCTTTTGTTTTTTAAGACGTTCTGAAGTCTGAAGTCTGATTTCACTTCTGAATTTTAAGAGATGGTACTGAAGTCTGAAATCTGAATCAGTCAGACTGTTTGTTTTTACGTCTGAAATCTGAGTCAGTCAAGTTTTGGATCTGATAGATTTGGATCGATCTGGGTCATGATTTTACGAGAATATGTGGATCGATCTGGGTCGTAATTGATTTGGAGATCGAATGTCTTGCGAGATAGATTTGGAGGACTAAATCTGGAGGTGAGGATGGAGGGGAGAGTCTGGAGGGAGCGATTAAGAGGATTTAAGTGATTATGTTATCACTTTTTTTCAGAGCAAATTAAGAGYTTTTCAGCTCTTATTTATATAAAAAAAACAAACAGTCTGAAAATAAAAATGTCTGACCGGTTCAGAGTTAAGAGGCATTAAGTGGTTTTTTTCAAAAAACAAACACGCCCTTAGAATTAGTTTATATGATGTTTTTGTGTGTTTTTAACAAGTTTTTAGGATACCTCTAATAAATATCCTATTACATTTTTATATGACATTGTCTGAAAACATGTTCTTATAGAAAACAACTGTCCTGTAAAAAGATGTGTAGAATACGACGTTGTTTAAAATTGTTGTAAATTTTTTGTTAAGCCGTTCAAAAGTGTTCTACAAACTTATTATAACGTTTTTATATATGACGTACACTTGTTAAGTCATATAAATTAACCTATAATAACAGTTAAACATTTTTAATATTTTATAAAGTTCGTTTTTATAGTAGTGAAACCCGGTCTAGACAGAGTAAAATCGAATCAAAACTGGACCAATCAGCAATGTTCGATTCTTCGTAGTGCATTTTTCTACAAACAAGTTTTAATTCATGATATTTTTCAAAGTTCGCTACTGGTTCGGTGGCTCCAATTTAAATTAAAACCGAACCGATTTTATATTTAATTTTAAAGAATTAATTACTTGTGTTTTCAATTTGATTCGATGAGCCGGTTACAAACTAGATATCAAAGAGAAATCAATTAAAATAACTATCTAAGACTTGGAATTCATCTCTTAATCATTTTTTATAATATTTTAAAAACGTTATTAGGTCTGTAAATGAGACCTCCTCGATTTACGGAGAGGTCAGAGTGTGAAAAAAGATCTTTTTGAACCAAGTGCCATTTGCGGACCTTTATCTGATTTATAGATTTGGTCTCTGTACTTGCGGACCTTGTTTAAATTTCTTTTTACATTTTGATTACTCAGTAAATTGAGGAGGTGCTAATTACGGACATAATGATATTTATGAAATTTGGGGAGAGAAATGGATAAAAGATGAATCCAAAGTCTGAAAATGACTATTTTCATTGATTTTCGAATACCAAAATTGGTTTAAATCAGTTTCATTATTTTCTAGAGTAAACTATGTTTTTTGTTCTGCAGTTTGTTGTTATTTTGAAATTAAGATTTTTATCCTTGTGATTTATAATTCATTGTTATTTTTATTTTTATGATTTTTAAATTTATTGTTGTTTTCCTCTTTATGACTTACAATTTATTGTTGTTTTATTCTTACATACTTTTTTTGTAAGGGTGTCCGGGCAAATTTGGAGGCTAAACATGGCCCCACTTAAATGTCGCCAACACTCCCCTTCCAGGGCTCGAACTCTGGTTCATGACTATGCCATGCCCAAACCTTTACCACTAGGCTGGAAGGTCTTTGACTATTCTTACATACTTAACGGTAAGAGTTAGCTCTAATGACTAAAATAATAATGAATTATAAAACATATCGAAAAAACTGTATTTTCAAAACTAAAGGGACAAATCGCAGTTCTAATAAACCAGAGAAACGAAACCCGTAATTAAATATTATCTTGAGTAAAGATCAACTTTGGTCCATAACGTTTACAATTTTTAACATATATCTTCCTTAAACTTTAAAACCTCGGATTTACTCTCCCATGTTTGTCAATTGCAAACAGTTTTGATCCTTTTGTCTAATAGTCATTAACCTTCTCTGTTACGTTCAATTAATCGAGATGTATTTTAGTTATTTTCACTATTTTATTATATTAAACTAAAAAAACATATTATATTTTTAATTTTAAATCATATAACAAAAAAACGAAAATTGGTGATAATCCTTTTTTTTTTACTGTTTTACAATTTAAAATTAACTAGTTGTGTACTCGTGCAATGCGACGTGAGCCGTGAATTTTAACGATTTTGAAGTTTCACTGGTTTTATTAGATAAGATTTAACGATGATATAAGTTACACTTGGTCTTTACATATTAATACAATTTGAATAAATAAGAGTTATGGTTTTAATTACAGTCTATCAATGAAAAAATTTGTATGATAGTTTAAAATCTAATATATTTAAAAGACTCCACAAATGTGCTCGATTAACACCAAGAACAAAGAATCAAGAGTTTGAGAGTGAGAATGAAAGTTCTAAAGCAATTAAATGAGAGATGAATGAGAAAACTTTTAATAACTCATTAATTTTGAATCTCACCTTAGTGGATGAGAAGAACACATAGAGGTATAAGTATAAGAAGGTGAAGACATGAGTGAAATGTGTCAAAAGTATCTTGGGAACATGAAAAGAAAATGTAATAATGTGCATTGGTAATTTGTACTATATGTTATTTTAATTGTAGATTAAAAGATTTTAAGACTAAATACATAAAATAGTAGTACTTAATGCATTATGAGTTGTTTTTAAGAGTTTATACATAAATGTATAATACTTTATGTATTAAAAATTGTAAATATTAAAAGGAATAAATTGTCCTTTTTTGCTTCAAATCACACTCCACACAGCAATATACAAAGCATACATTAAGACAGTCTTAATCAACACAAACATTAAACTTAAAGTCAACCACTCTCATGAATCAGCTTCCTCATGCCTGCAACTAAATCTTAACTTCTTTGAAAGAGACTCCCAATTTAATGAAGTTTTGGTGTTGACTCAATTACTTTTACTCAAAATAATATGATATAATATACTTGGCTTTATAAGACGTCTATTATGTTTAAATACGTCTTATCAAATTTATTGCAATACGTTTTATATAACACGTACAGGGGGTGTAAAAAAACCGTTATACCAATTTATTGTTAGATTTTCATATAAAAACATAATGTTTGATTCTATATAAGGGGTGTTTGGGATTTTGCTTATTTGAAACAATTTATATTTTTCTACAAAAACACTTATCAACTTATTATGAGTTAGAAGAGTTTAACTTCTTCAAAAACTTCTTGTTACCGGTTTGACACCGGTATAAGTTGTTTATCCGAACTCTCAAAAATGTTTATTACCGGTATCACATCGAAATAAGTCAATAAGTTGTTTTTATAAGCAATCCCAAACACCCCTTAAAAAGTCAATTAAAATATTTATATATGTTTGATTTTTTGTAAAACCAATTTTATGGTATTCATAATAATTTAATCGATTTGTTTTCTTTATTTGTTTAAGAAAATATGCAGAAAGAGAGCCACTACACCCATGAAGAACGTAAAGATGTTCCCTTTATTTCTCTCCTACGCCTGTCTGGTGATCTCCGCCGTGACTCGCCTGACAAACGCTGCCGCCGGCAAGAGCATTTTCCTCTTGGCCGGCCAGAGCAACATGTCTGGTCGAGGTGGGATCGTGAATCTGACCTGGGACGGCTACATCCCACCGGAATCTTCCTCTAACCCCGCCATCCTCCGCCTGACTGCCAATCTCAACTGGGAACTCGCCGTCGAGCCTCTCCACCGAGACATCGACGTTGCAAAAGTATGCGGTGTTGGTCCTGCGATGGCGTTCGCGAATTCGTTGTTGAAAAAGGATTCGAGCATTGGAGTGGTGGGGTTGGTTCCTTGTGCAATCGGAGGAACGAATATTAGCCAGTGGGTTCGTGGCGGCGATCTTTACAACCAGCTGATACGGCGGGCGGATGCGGCGGTGAGCGGTGGAGGCACCATCGGTGGGTTGCTGTGGTATCAAGGAGAAAGTGATACGTTGACTCTAGAAGATGCGGAGGCGTACAATAGCAGATTGCGTCGTTTCTTCGTTAATGTGCGCGCCGATCTTCACTTGTCACTTCTTCCTATAATTCAGGTAACTTCATGGATTTCAAAATTTTCTTCATTTAATTATTATATTTATAAAAGTTATATTATTAAACTAAAAATAAAAAAAATTTATAAAACAAATAAATTTTAAATAATTAGTTTGGTATCGATACCAATATTTTTTAAATTTTTTATGATATATTTTTATATTTAAATTTTATTCAAAAATAAAAACATAATTTTTTCTTCTCAAAACCACATAAAATCGTATTATAACATTGATTGAGACAAAAAAAAAAAACGAAATATTAAAATCAAGATGTATCTCGCTGCATTGTGCGAGTACCCTTCTAATTATTTATAAATTTATTTAAATACGGAATAAAAATTAATTACAAGTACAATTTTAAATCGTGCCTTATATTATTATTTATAAATTTATTTAAATAATGACCAAAAATTAATTACGAGTACAATTTTAAATCGTGCCTTATATTATTAATCGAATGCATTTTTTAGAGTCGAGTAAAATAATAAGTTATTTGAGTCGTGTTCGGAAAAAATACTAGGCTCGAACTCAAATAACTTTTCAATTTACGGCTTGAGTTCGAGCTCGAATATTTTTTGAATTGTAGAGCTCGAGTTCGGTGCTTGTTTATAGGCTCGGACTCATGATTGATTAATTAGTTCACAGGTTCTAGGTTGATAATTTTTATCTTTTTATTGTATGATTTATGAACATATAAGCATGGTTGGTTTGGAAAAATGTTTGCTCGAAAGGTTCGAAAAGTTTAATTGAGTTTTCGAACAAGCCGAGTCAAACATTGGTGCTAGAAGCTCGACCCGTTAAGTTAAACGAGTTTTGTTTTATGTTTAAGATCGACTCGAGCTCGAAAATTATTAAGCTCGGGCATGAAGTAAACGAGCTCGAACTCGAACAACTCATTAAAAACTCGACTCGTTACATCTTAACCATGATGATTAAATCTAGTGTATGATTACAGGTGGCATTAGCATCTGAATCAGGACCGTACACAGATATGGTGAGAAAGGTCCAACTGGGAATGAAGATGGTGAATTTAAGGACCGTTGATGCAATGGGTCTGAGGGTGCAGGAGCCAGAAAGGTTGCACCTCACCACACCATCGCAAGTCTCTCTTGGGAAGATGTTGACCAATGCCTTCCTTCAACTCTGTCTTCCGTCAATCTAAATACTCTTCGTTTTCGTCTATTTACCTATCTTTAAAATTAAAAAAAAAAATATTTCACAAACTTTTAAATTTATTCATCATTTTTAATGAATTTGATCGTTTATTACCATCTTGTTAATAGTTAGGGGTCGTTTACTAATCACTTATTCAGGTAAGTGCTTACCAAGTCATGTTACCTTAATAGATGAATATGGTAAGAAAAAAAAAATTATACCCGGTAAAAACGAAACAAGGACTATGAATCTTTCCCAGTAAGTGAGGGCGACGATTCTTACCACAGTAAGCGTTTACCGGGTAAATTGTTGCATACGATGTCGTTTTGGTGGACTAAAATCTTACCCGCTACGTAAATAATAGTGTTAAATTTGACCGGTACCGGGTAAGTGTTTGGTAAACGGCTCCTTAGAGTGCTTGTTAGTAGCTTAATAAGTTTAATAGGACTTACGACTTATTCGATCGATCATCGTGATTTTTTTGTAGTGGCTTAATGATAAATAAAGTTGTTTATTCAGTAAGCTTCTAAATGAGAGTTGTATGCAGAAAGCCCAAAAAAATTCGTACATGACTCACCCAATTAAAGAACGCGCTCACCCCTTCTATGAGAAAAACCCAAAAACGAAAAACTTTCTTAATCTATACAACAAATTAATCCATACAGACCAACTTTATCCATGCACGACTTAATGGAAAACCAACCAAACAATCCCTTACTCTTTTTTGGAAAACTTACTCCAGAGAACATGTGAATTTGACTCTCATCTTACGTGAACGAAAATCGGTAACTGATCGAACATAAATGGTAAAAAGATCAAAATACCCTTGAATTAACTTTGTTTAAAGGAAGTTAGTGGCCGTTTACCAAACACTTACCCAATAAGTGCTTACAAGTAAAATTTAACACTATTATTTACTTACTGGGTAAGATTTTAGTTCACAAAAACGACATCATATGCAACAATTTACTCGGTAAGCGCTTACTGTGGTAAGAGTCGTCGCCCTCATTTATTGGGTAAGACTCTTGGTCCTTGTCTCGCTCTTACCGGGTAAGATTTTTGGTCCTTACCATATTCATTCGGTGAGGTAATATTACTTGGTAAGCGGGTAAGCGTTTGGTAAACAACCCGTTAGTCGAAAAGATCAAATGTGTAATAATATGACTGTCACAATGATCAAAAGTGTAATTATTTCAAAATAGAACCAAAAAATGATAATAATTGATAACTATAAAGACAAAATATATAATTTACTCTTAAATTGGGCTGCTCATGTGGATAGTGGGCTGTTGACACTGTATTTAGATTAAATGGATTGGTATAGGAGGCCCAAATTAATTTGATTTTGGGTAATACTTATACCAATAAGTGAATTGTTAATCAGAGAATAAAGATGAAAAATATCAGAAGACTAGAAGGGTCAAATTATATGTGTTTGATTACGAGACGTGGTCAACGCAAGAGATGTGCGGGCGACTTGGTCCATAACATAGGTTGCGGTCAAGGTTGCACGAATCATGTGTGGTATAAAATCACATGTGCTTAGGTCGTTCTCGTCTTCTCTTATTTGATAACTGTTCTTGTTTGAACCCGACTTTAAAAAAAATTAAATTAATTAGTATACTTGCTTCAGACTCTGGCAAATTTTAATCAAAGGGTGGAAGTCGAAGGTTAAGTGTGGGAAAGTCAACCAATGGACTCGATATGCGTCAAGCCTATTAATTGTCATTATCAGAATAAGCATATGTGAATGATTATTCATGACACGTAGGGAGATCGGTAGTTGTGGTAAGTAACATTTTAATGCGAGTTTATGTACTGATTTGACGAATTTATACGTATTGGTTTGTTGAAATTGTAAGAATGTTTATGCCACGACTTGTGATATTGTGAAAGATGTTAAGCATGCGGCTATGTCTTACATGTTTTGAAAATGTATGAACATGTTTCTTTATTCATTATGATATGTTTCGGTGTCGTTGACTCATAGAGTGGCAGTGGCTAACGAGGGTAATGGGACTATAATCTATATGACGTCTTACAAGAGGGCAAGTGCATATGTCAGGCAATGACCTTAAGAACAGATAAGTGGACCGACTAAGGTGCCGTTTACCAAATACTTACCCGGGTAAGCACTTACCAAATCATGTTACTTTACCAGATGAATATGGCAAGGACTAAAAATCTTACTCGGTAAGAGCGAAGACAAGAATCGAGAGTCTTACCCGGTAAGTGAGGACGAGGACTCTTACCATGGTTAGCGCTTACCGGGATAAATTGTTGAATATGATGCTTTATAGGGAATAAAATCTTAGAGGCCGTTTACTAAACACTTACTTGGTAAGTACTTACAGGATAAATTTCCTCATCGGATGAACATGAGAAGGTTCAAGAATCTTACCGGGTAGAAGCAATGAGAACGATGGAGAGTCTTACCCGGTAAGTGAGGATGACGCGCTTACCCACTAAATTGTTGCATTCGATATGTTTTGATATACTAAAATCCTACGCATCAAAATAAATCATAGTGTTGACTCCTATCGGTAAGCGCTTACCGGGTAAACAATTTGGTAAACGGCCCATTCTCGGTAAGTAAGCGATAATGTTGAATTTTACCGGTAAGTACTTACCGGGTAAGTGTTTAGGTAAACGGCCACTAAATTTGTATAGTCACCAATCACATACTATCACATGCCCTTTCTCTAATAGACTAATAACTAGTTAACTATATTAACAATGATATTTTTTTTGTATATCTGAAAAGTACATTTTTCGAATGCAATAATTCGACTCTATCGTCTTGGGTATCATGAATTTCGTATTGGGATAATCCAGTTGAAAATTCTAATTTTAAATGTTATAAGATCGGGTCCTTATATATACCCAGATTCTCATTCACGTATTTATATAAGAGCTCGACAGTTACAAACGGTTAAAACGGATAAGACATAACTGCCAACAGTTATAACCATTAACAAATAAGATTTGATAACAGTTACAACTGCCTCAGGATCAAAAGCAATGAGTCGAAAAGAAGTCTAGAGGCTCTGATTAGACAGTCCAGAGCCTTTGACTTTAGCACTTAGAAAACTCGTGTGATGACTTTAGAACTCTGAGGTTAAGTCTCGGCGGCTCTAAGTCCACCACCTTTGAACAATACTTGGCCAAATTTCGTAATACTTCAACTCAGGTCTCTAACCTTCTGAAATATGTTCAAAACATCCGGAAACTCAAAATATTTAGGATCACTGCCAATCCTCTACATCAAGGACCCCGCAAGGGGCACCTTCCTCTTAACACTCGCCTTATGACAATCTAAGGTGACATAGACAACATTTGTGAGTGTCCCCTCCACACCTCCTACCAGATCGACGTAAATCCCAATCATACTAAAATGATTGATGACACTGAATCATCAACAATTGTCGTTCACTTTAATTATTTTATTATGGTCAGTGGTCAGGGTCTGCTTAGTTATTAACAGAATCTCATAAAATAAGTTGAAATACACATAAACTGATCCAGACACCCACGGTTACCCGATAAAATCTTCTGAACCACCCCATCCATAAGGAATAATTTATGTTGGAGCAAAGAATAACCATCTAAACGTCTAAATACACTTTTTCATACGTATCCGGATGATGATCATCTTGAAGCAATCAAGAAATACGACGTCGTGCCAAGCAAACTTCAATGATATCGATTGCCACAGCTTTTCTACTAGAGTATACAAATGGAGGTATAATCTTTGCTTTAAAGTGGGGTTAAATTAAATTCCATCTTTCTTTCATTCTTCATATTCATTGCTTTAAGGAAAGATGGCCATCTAAAAGGGACACCGTTACTGCCACCTATAGAGATATGCTCCTTCTGTATCTATCCTACGCTTATCTATTCATCTCCTCAGCCGTCACGGTTGCTAATGCCGCCGCCGGAAAAAGCATTTTCCTCTTGGCCGGCCAGAGCAACATGGCCGGGAGAGGCGGTGTCGTGAATGACACCTGGGACAACTACGTCCCACCGGAATCTTCGCCGGACCTCGCCATCCTCCGTCTCAGTGCCGACCTCAACTGGCAGCTGGCGACGGAGCCTCTTCACCGAGATATCGATACTAATAAAGTGTGTGGTGTTGGGCCTGGGATGGCGTTTGCGAGTTCGTTGTTGCGAAAGGACTCGAGTGTTGGGGTGGTGGGGTTGGTCCCTTGTGCAGTTGGAGGGACTAATATTAGCGAGTGGGGTCGTGGCGGGGATCTTTACAAGCAGTTGATACGGCGGGCGGAGGCGGCGTTGGAGGTTGGTGGCACCGTCCGTGGGTTGCTGTGGTTTCAAGGAGAGAGCGATACGGTTAGCCGAGAAGACGCCGAGTTGTACAAGACCAGGCTGCAAAATTTCATCCTTCATGTGCGTGCCGATCTCCTTTTGCCCGTTCTTCCCGTAATTCAGGTAACCTAATTAGCTATCCGTAAATCTATACCATATTATAAAATATTTGATAAAAATTCTTAAAAACCATTTTTTAATGCATGAATTATTGTATGTTGATGCATATTATTTAAAATTTAAAGATTACAAGTAAATTATGCACAAATACAACTTATTAAAGCTTTATGTTTAAATTCGTGTAACTAACTATGGATAAACATAATTAAATAGATGATAGACATCTCATTTTAAATTATAAAAATCTAAAATATAATTAGAATGATTATCGAATTGTAATAAAATAATTAATTATTATCTTTATAAGAAAATTATATTATTAAATCAAATATAAATTACTTCGTTATTGAACCTAAATTAAAATTATAATAAAAAAAATTGAATTAAAAATTACACAAAAAATAAAAAATTTTAAATAGTTAATTTGATACTAATACCGATATATTTTTGTCAATTTTTTATGATATTTTCACGATATTAGAAAATATAAGTAACATTAATCAAAAAACCCAAAAGATCTATCGAAATGAATTGAAATTTTTAAAAAATCCCTTGAAATCAACCAAAAGCTTAAAAAATTGAACGAATTCAAGTAAAACATATCAGATAACTTTATGAGCCTTTTATCCACTTTAAAGATAGACTCGCTTGATAAAAATCCATGTCCACCGTTGATCAGACAAACGAAAAGAACACAAAAAGTAAATCATTTTATATTGGATATTTTACAACATGATGCTGAAAAGTATTTTATATAAATATATATATATATATATATATATATTTACTCAAACGTTATTTTGTAAAGTGGTTAATATTTAAGATGTAAAGAATTGATCTCAGTCTTTCACACAGTTAAGTTCGAATTTGTCTGATTAGTAATTGCTAGAGGACGTAGTTTACTTTTACAAATAAACGACAAACGTGTTTATATGTGAACCTATGTGATTCACATATGAACTATATGTTTATATGTGAACCTATATAATTCATATATGATTTATTTTAACCGATTCATATATGAACTAATAAACTGATTCACATATGAACTAATTAATTGATTTGCATATGACCCCGTGTGATTCACACATGAACATATTAGTTCATTTATGAATTAGTTAAATAGTTAACATGTGAACTAATTAACAGATTCACATATGAACATATAGTTTATACGTGAAGCACATGGTTCACATATGAACTCATTTGCGGTCTATTTGTAATAGTTACGAAACTACCCCTCCATCTTCCGAATAATAATGCGAGGAATTATCCGATACTTATGAATGGTTAGGACTACTTCTTTTCTTCCAAAAGGAGCATTTACCACTTCTTAAATGAACATTTTCATATATATATATATAGGGTTGGGTTCATGTGAGATCAAGGGGTTTTCGTGAGACCCGTAAGACCAATTTATGTTCATTGATCAACTTTATAAGTTAAAGATCTAACGGTCTAAAATTGCACGGTGGCAATTTTGTGATTATTGAGAAGTCTCGTGGCGTTTATGAATGTTAAGATCTGACAATTGTATATCTAATCCAATGGTTAAGAATTAGTCTTACGGGTCTTGCGAAAAACACTTGGTCTCACATGATCCGAAGTATATATATATATATATATATATATATATATCAAAGGTCCAGTGAGTTAGTCGTCCTAACAGACCAATTAATTTTATAATAGTGCTTTATATATATATATGCTTAATTTCTGGCTAAGCTCCCAAACTAATTAAGTGGCATAAATGGAGTTGCAGGTGGCACTTGCATCTGGAGAAGGACCATACATAGAGATGGTAAGAGAAGCCCAACTGGGGATGGACATGGTCAACCTACGGACCATCGATGCCAAGGGTCTGAACCTGGAACCAGATGGGTTGCACCTCACCACACCATCTCAAGTATCTCTTGGCAACATGTTAGCCAATGCCTTCATCCAGACCAGACCTTCTGCCATCATCACACCTAACACTGCTTCAACAATCATGTCCCAGAACTTCCTTACACATTTTTTGTCTCTGCTACTTTTGGTAATTAATGCTTCTTTTTTGTAATTGAAGCATCCATTTTTATTAATTACGAGTATATGTTGTATTTAAATCCAAGGTGTATATATATTGTGAAAGAAATACGTGTCATAATTCCATCATTCCATGGCACTCGACTACCGTAACCACCATCTGCCACCTTACTCTTAACGTGTCACATGCTTACAACTTTATATATATATATATATATATATATATATATATATATATATCATATGGAAGTGCAGATTAAGCTCTTATCTAAACAACAGTTCCAACCAAATTCGATTGAGAGAAAGATGAATACATCAAAGGTATGTAAAGGTTTCTTTGTACCTGCAAAGGTCGAATGGGTGTTTTATGTTTTCATTTTTACCAAATTATATATGTTTCATCGTTTGGTCCAATTATAATGCTTTTAATTAATTACGGGGACGTTTATCTAATGTTAATTGGGTAAGCGTTTACCGACAAAAGTTACTGCCTTTTCAGATGCTATTCTTGGCTATTAAAATAAAAATTTTGTAAGTGTTTAATTGGGTAAGTTAGGCTCTTAACCGGGTAAGAGTCTCTTTTTGTACTAGGTAAACACTTGGGTTGTTGTTTTTCATAGATGCTCTGTCCTTGTCATATAGTAGGTGCTTGCTAGGGACGGACGTATAAATTAGTGACACCATTTGATTATAAGAAACAAGTATAAGAATATTTTTTACAAAAATCCTTATTGGTTTAATGGTTAGTTTATTGTTTTTCCTATATGAGGTTGAGGTTATGTGTTCAAGTTTTTTACTGTAATTTTTTTTTGGAAACATAATAAATCTGAAACTAATAGCTAAAAACTAAGAAAATGATGCCAAAGATGTTTGACCTCGGGTCTAAGGTGAAAGAAAAGTCTTGTAAACCAACTCTAGCAAAGAAACTTGTATCCTCCTTATGGTTTTAAAATAGCATACGACAAATTGATACGGTGGTACACAACAAATTTACAATACAACAGAGGAAAGCAACAGTAGATTCGATTGCCATGCCTTTCACTTTGGGCTATCTTCCTTCTCCTAGTTCTTGGGACTTGCTTYAAGACTGTGTTATTAATCCTCTATTCCCTCTGTTTGAATCCTCTTCTATTCTAATTGCGTTGAGGTCGTCTTTCAAGCACTTCCGATTCGCTATTCCCTGGGTCCATGGTGTTTACCCCGTAAGTTTTTGGTGAACTACCCATAAAAGTTTTCTCTTGCATTCACCAGGTAAAATTCTTGGTCATTGCATTCGATTAAGATTCTCAGTTCTTGTAATGCTCGTTGGGTAAGCGTTTAGTAAACAACCAATATATCAATCAAAATTATTTCTGAATAATGTTAGAAAAACAATTGTATTTAATGAATTTCATTTTTGTTTGTTTTAACTTTTAATTTTGTTTAATTTATCACTTGTCTAGTCGGTCTATATTACTGGTACAAGTGTAACAAGGCCTAAAACAACTATAGTTTTAATTTTCTAATGACTTATGTATCCGGATTGGAACTATGGTATTAGGGTACCGAACAAATAAACAAGGAAGGAGCGGTGGAAATTAAGGTCGATTCAGTGAATTACAAGTCGCCGGTGGGGAAAGACGAACCAAGAAAGGTGGTGGAAGTTAATCCTGACAATGTAGATAAAGCAAGCAACTACGCTAATCCGGGTGAGGCTTTGTCAAGTCGAGTACGAGTTGACCCGTCTCACTTTGTTCCTAATAAGTAGAGCTATTAATAGCAAACCACCCTTTAAAAATAGACTTTGTTGTCATCGTGTTTGTCGACCATTAATCTAAGTACTTTTCATATCGGTTATAATCAGAGACTTATGTGTATGTTATTTTGAATATTGCAATTTTTTGGCAAACGAATGAAGTGTATGAACCGACCGGAGCGTTTGTGTGTATAAATATGTAATATATTCGAGTTCACATCTTATATCCTTTTGGGGGTGTTTGAGATTGTTTATAAAAACAACTTATTGACTTATTTTGGTGTGACATCAGTAATATACATTTTTTAGTGTTTGAATAAATAGTTTATATCGGTGTCAAACCGGTAATAAGAAGTTTTTTTTAAGAAGTTAAACTTTTCTAACTTATAATAAGTTGATAAAGACTTTTGTAGAAAAGTACAAGTTGTTTCAAATAAACAATCTCAAATACCCTTAGTACTTATAAACTATTCAAATTTAATCATTTTAATATTATAAATAAATTATTATTTGTTATGTTTATAGTTTACTTAGTTTATATTATCGATTTAGGAATGTGTATGAGATATGGACAATCAACTATAATTGATTTCTTGAATTTTAGTTTTACTTTTAAGCTATATATTTTAATTTAATTTTGTAATTTATAGATTGAATTTTAAAGACCATAATTATCTCAAACGGCAAAAAACTGATCAGACTATATCGTATTTTTGTTGTCTGGCTTTACTGATATATATGGACACTTCGTTTCAAACATGGGCGGATGCACATGGAGACCATTGGAGTCCTGGGCCCCCAACAAAAAAATGTTTAAAAAGCCCTATTTTTTATTTTTTATTTGTAGTTTTTAATTTAATTTGGTTAGGCCTCCAACAATAAAATTATAAAGGTCTCCTCCTTAGTCCTTCTCCTTCACGGTTCACACGGTAACAGGTCACGCAGTCTGCTTACCTACTCCAGTCTCCAGTCTCTAATTTGATTTGGGTAAAAATTTTGATTTTTAAATTCCAATATTTAATTTTGAATGACTTTGRTTTTGTTGTTTGCTTCACAATTGATGATTTGRTATYTTGGTAAATGYTTTATGTTAGGTTAATTTTGCAATTTTATAGACAAATAGAAATGTTAGGTTAATTTTGCAATTTTGTAGGAAAATGGAAATGTTAGGTTAATTTTGCCAATGAAAATGTTAGGTTAATTTTGTAGGAAAATAGAAATGTTAGGTTAACTTTGCAAATTTGTGTTGAAAAGCAGTATGCAAGACAATTAAAGATCCAAGTGTTATTTGTGAATTATATGATCAGACAGAAGGAATAATTCCTAGTTGGTAGGTCTTCTTGGGTGTTCATCTTAAGAAGAGTACTAAAAGATTAAAACATAAGCCTTAGAGATTACTCTCTACCACATCATTGCATTTCAGTAAGCAGGATAATCAGTACCACATATGAAAAGGTAAATATACAAGTCATATTCACTCAACAAATATAAATTGTAGGGTCAATGCCTAGCTTATTTCAACTGCATCAGTTATCTTTATTCGGTTAACTGAAAAGTTTAAACCTGAAAATGAAAACCCGAAACCTTTTTTGGTTCGGACGAATTGTTCGGTTTCGAAATTTTTTCGACCCTCCTAAGTGTGTGCCCCCAACCATAATAGTTTCTAGATCCGCCACTGGTTTCAAACTACATGGTTTGAAAAGTCTCGAACCGTCACCAGTGGTATCTATTAAAAAAACGCTTAAACCGTCTAGATCTGATCGTGAACACCGGTAAAGGTAATTGTGAGTGAGAAACAAGATTATTTGAAATTAAATTTTGAAAAACTAATATCTAATTGAATATATTGAATACTTTAATATATAACTGATATTATTAATTTTAATTTTTGAATGAGTATATTAGGGTGATAAAAAGCCTTGTACCCGATGGGGAATCCGATACGAGATACCCGAACCCGACTTGACAGGAGATTGGATAGGGATGTTGAATCCCCAAATATGTTAACCCGAGATGAGGATACCTCTCAAACCCGACCCCGACCTCGAATATTTATTACTAAGTTTTTATGTATAGTATATAAATAAATGTGTGTATTTATGATATTAGAATAATGAATAACCTAATAAGTAAATATATAACACACAAATATAATCAATATTTGATGATGAGAAAATTTTCAAAAGATATTATAATATTGGTTTGATTGTTCGGAAATGATACCAATATGGATATATAAAATTTGAATTATTAAATATTGTAATTGATATATTTATTTTTAAACTAGTTTTATGTAAATACAACCATTAACATTTGGTTAATTGAAGTTTTAAAATAATGTCGCTTAAACGTGTAATTGACATTTATAAAAATATTATAGAGAACATTAAATTTTGTAAATATTATAGAGAACATTAACAAAAAAAATTGATGATTATATTAATTTAAAATTGTTGTAACTTATTCACATTATTTGATAATCTAATTTAATAATGTCTTATAATATTTTATCTTTTAAAAGATAATTGTTTTTTTTTATTTATAAAAAATAGGTGAATCACAATTAATTTTAGAGTGAATTACACTTTTGATCCCTGTAATTTACAAAAAGTGAATTGTCTCTTTTAGCGGTTGCCAACAAATGGTGTTAACTTCAAGGATCTTAAGTGTCATGAAATTTAAAAGTTAGAAACCGTCAATATAAATAGTTTGTTTTAAAAAATCAAATTCAAAATTTAAACAAACCGAAGGACAACCATTGTAATTCGCTCTTTTTGAATTGTAAAAGGATGAAGTCCTTATGTTTCGCGATTCAGAGGTAAGTTATAATAGGGAGTTTGGGACTGTTGGTGTCTGGTTGTGGTTAGACCCGAATATGCAATAAAACTTAAGGGTTTAAATGAGAACGCCTTCATTTTACGAGAGTGAGAACACTCTTTTACTATAAACAATTGCATGTGATATTATTATTTCATCATATGTGATACTAAATCAGAGACGCATGCGACTTTCGGCGCGATCTAGGTTGCGGGCCAAGTTGTTCTTACATCACTAATCCACTCGCATGTATTATCACATGTGATAAGGGTGTTTTTGATGTGATACTATAATCCATCAAGACCATTACATGTGATGCTAAATCATAGACGCAGACGACCTTTGGCGCGACCTGAATCGCAGAATACGTCGTCCACACACCACCATGTTCTCTCACATGTATTATCACATGTGATAAGGGTGTTCTTACATTCTCGTAAAATGGAGGTGTTCTCGTTTGAACCTCCACCTATATATTTCTAATTATTATGGTTGACTATTTTAAGTTTTATTTTTAAAAGTTTATTTTTTATTTTTTAAATCGAAGCATAAAAACGGGTAAAAATAACCAAAATTATAATATTTTTTTTATTAACCTGGATATCCAACCCGTTATGTGAGCCGACTAATCTCGGGACGACCATCTGCTTTGCAGATAGCCCGGAGTCACCGCATTTGAACCTCCGTGACTAGGGGTGTAAATGATGCGAGTCGAGCTCGAGTATCATTATACTCGACTCGAACTCGAAACCTAATCTCGAAGCTCGAACTCGACTCGAAAACTCGCGAGTAGTCAAAATCGAAGCTCAACTCAAACTCAATTCAAGCTCGAACTCGAACTCGAATCAAACTCGAACTCGAGCTCGATTCAAGCTCGAACTCGAGCTCGAATCAAGCTCGAACTAGAACTCGAATCAAGCTCGAACTCAACACTACAAAAATGCTGGGTATCAGCGAGGGAAAATTCCCTCGCTGATCCGTCGCTGAAAGGGGTTTCCGTCGCTGATCCGTCGCTGATACTCCGTCGGTCAAACAGTCGTAGGTAATGCTATCAGCGACGGATCAGCGACGGAAATCAGCGACGGATTTGCGAGGGACAC